GGCGGAGACGGCGCAGCTATGGGCTTGAAGGCAAGTGAGGTCCGCAGGGGGAGCGAGGTGGGCCGGGGCCTCCAGGGCGGGCTTCAGGGGAAAGTGTTTATGGGAGGCATCCCTCGAGCACGCCAGCTCCGCCCCCCTGCGCGCATGGATGGCCGTGCGCCGCGGAGGCCAGCTGAGAGCACGCCATGATGAAGACCTCTAGGCGTCCGCGGGTTTTGCGGAAGTCTGCGCCCGCGAGGTTGCGGGCTCGGCGGATGCTGTCGCGCGGAATGCGCGCGTGATCGCAGGGAAAGCAGATGTCCAGAGAGGCCTCGAGGATGTCACCGACGTTGCAAGTTCCATCGAAGGCTGGATCTCCCCCCCGCGGGGGGGGGGCGGTCTTCTCCGATGGCTCGCTCGGGGGCACTGCTCGGGTGAAGTCCTGCCGCGCGCGGTAGACTTGCCCATGCCGTTGCGTGGACAAGGTTGGAGGCGTCAATGCCCAGTTCGTCGCTGAACAGGCAGCTGCCGTAACTGGCCAGCTTCCGTCGCTGCTCGTAGAGATCTGTTGGCGAGTCCTGGGCGCGACGGCGGCTTCGTCCAGGACCGCCGCGGCCGTCTCCGGCAACTCTTCGCTCGGCCTATTCCAACTGTGCCCGGGAGGGGGCTGGGAGTCAAGCCGAGTCTGAAAGCGCAGAGCACGCTGCTCGGCTAGCCGCTGCGTCTAAATTATTGTCGCTGGGACGCTCCTGCTCGCCCGAAAGGCGGGCTTGCTCTTCCTGTGAGGGGCCCGTGGTGCGCGCGCCTCCTGGTGCATCCCGTGCTTGGGCGGGGGAGAAGATGGCGGCCTCGCGCAGCAAGCTGCGTCTGCCCGGGTCGCCCTCAAAGCAGGTCCAGAGCCCGGCGTCTTCTGCCCATCCTGCGGGCAGGTGCGTCTGGGCCTGTTGCGGCAGCGGCCGTCCCCGCGTTCATCGCGACGGCTGCCCCCTCCTGCGCCATAGCAGGGGCAACGTTGATGCGATCGAGATCGCCGATGAGACCCCGATGCGCCGTGGAGTTCGAGCGGGCGGTGCATAGGATAACCAGATCCGCCTCGTCGCCTTGGCTGCCGTCCACGGTGGGCGCGCCGATTAGGCCGTGGCCAACCATGCGAGAGCACCTTGCCTCGATGCCGCTAAAGGCAAGCTGAAGGCCATTGAATTCCGCGAGGTGGGGCGCGTTTGAAGACGCTGCCTGCGGGGGGAGGCCGCGCCCCAGTTGGCCTTTCCCGGGGCGCCTTCGCGGAAAAAGGGGGGCCCTGGACTGCGCGGGGGCCCCCGCCCTGCGACCCTGCCCTCGCCCTTGCCCTTATCCTGGCGAGCGCCGAAGAAGGTGCCGCGGTCGATGGGCCAGCCGGCTTTGATTAGGGCCACCTGCGCTCGGTGCCCACAGACAATCGGGGCGCGCTGGCCGAACTTCAGAAGGTGGTCTTCTGCGGACTTGACGACGTCGCAAACAGGCGCCGCTTCCCCCAGGTTGGCAGTGCCCTCGACGAGGGCGAATGGGAACTCAATGGCTTTCCCGCGCGCCCCCTGACTGGGCTCCATGCTGGGCATAACGGACGCCGCGGGCCCCGCCGTCAATCGAGATGTCGGGCCAGCCCCCTGCAGGGGGGCATCGGGGGCTGGCTGGACAGGGTCGGCCAGCCTCCAGGGGATGCCTGGGATGGTAGGTCTCTGCGCGAGGGCATCGATTGGGCCATAGTGCAGCGCGCCTTTGTAGGAGGCAAAGGGCGGCAATTGGATACTGCCATTATGCGCGCGATTGCACGCGCTGGGTTGCGCGTCGCGCTGCGGCGGGGTCCCCGTCGAGTCGCGGGGGCGCCCCAGCGCAAAAGTGCCTGGGCCCAGGGTGTCCGCGCAGGCAGACAGCGCCGCGGGGCGCAGCTGGTCTTCGCCCCCCATAAAACTGATGAGCGCGCAATCCACTATCACTGTCAACTCTTGGGTCGGACAGAGGAGATCCGAGTCTGGGAATTAGCGAACCATCACCTACCAAGACTTGCGGCCAATGAGCCAGGCCCCGAAATTCAACGGCGCACGAGGCCACGGGCAACGGGCCCCGAGGAATGGCGAGGGAAGGGGCGCCGGCCCGACGCGCGCATGGGCGAGGTGGGGAGCGCCACCCATTCCTGCCCTTCGCCCTGCCCACCGCCCTCCTCGTCGCATTCACCAACCTCATCATCGCCGTCCAGACTGGAGCAGACCCGCCGACGGCGCGCCCGCCGTGGCGGCGCCAGAACTGACGCGGCGCCAGACTGGCGGCGCGGCGTCAGAATCGCCAAGCGCCAACCCCCCACCCCACCCCAAACACCCGCAAGGCAGACGGATACACATGCCCAGCGGGCTGTGGGACGGCACTCCGAATCAAAACTGCAGCAATACAGAACACCTCGAACGTCGCGCCTCAAAGCTTTGGAGGTAAAGCTGCGCGCGCGCGAAAGCACCCTGAAACACCCGAACCTGCAATGCAACTTCCGACTGTCCCCGAACGCGCCCGAACGCCACCGTGAAATCCCGGGCGTCGCGGGTTATCCCCGTGGCACCGGAGCGTGCCCGAACGGATGCGATTGTCATAAAATCATCCGATGGATACCGAGGCCCACGCGGGCCGACCTTCGAACGCGCGCGGGCGCGCCCGAGGGCCGCCCGAAGCCGACGCCCAAGGGCCCGCGAGCGCGTGCCCAAACGGACAGACCCCACCACGCGCACACCCGCAGGACCCCCGATGGCCACCGAAAGCTCCCGAGCGCGCCCGGCTACACCCGATAGCCCCCGAACCTTCGCGACGGCGCCCGCGCGGGCCCGAGGACGCCCGAGCGCGCCCGCGCGAACCGCGAGTCGGCCCCTAAACATGAATAGCGGGGGGGATGTCTCGAGCGGGGGCGCCATTCCGAAATGGCGCCTCCGCTCCAGACGGCCCCCCCCCCCCCACATTGAAATCTTACGGAAATTAGTAATGCGTGGGGGCGGGGGGAGCGTCTCGTGCGGGGGCGCCATTTCGGGGGCCGGCTCGCGGGTCGCAAGCGGCCTGCCCTGGAAGGGGCACGAGCGGGCGGTCTGGCGGGGTCCCTTGGGGGCCATCGGGTGCTCTCCGAAGCCCCCGGGGGCCCTTCGGGAGCCATCGGAAGCATTTAAAAGCTATCGGGGGGGGCTCTCTGGACGCCCTCGGACGCACGTGAAATCCATGGGGGCCCTCGGGCGCCATCGGGGGCCCTCGGGTGCCATCGGGCGGGCCCGCGGCTGCCAAGAGAAGCCGTCGGGCGCCCTCTGAAGCCCTGGGGCGTCCTAGCGCGCGCCCTGCGATCCCCCGGTAGAAGGAAGAGGGGGCGGGGCCAGGATGGGAAGGGGGGTGGGGAGGGTGGCGGCGCGGGCGAGGCGAGGGCGCCCGCGCTAATGCCAGCGCTGCCCCTGCAATCGCCTTCGAGGAGTCTTGCAGGCGCAAGACCCATGTTGCTGCGACGCCCCCCCGACGTCACCTGCGAGCACTGCCGCGGCGGACCGAGTGCAATAATTTAGAACAGCGCCAACGCTGCCAACGCTAATGTTTGAAACTATGTTTGTCGCGCCTGCTTCTCTCGAGCGGTACGCGTGACTGGTTGTGTGATGCTGGAAGCTGTGGCGATGCTGATAGTGTCGATGCTGATAGCGTTGCGGCGTTGCGGGCGGTGCTGGTGGAAGCGCTGATAACTGCTGCGGTGCTGATGGCGGTGGCGATGATGGTCGGCGGCGCGTCAGGCCAGGGCCTCGGCGACTAGAGAAATATAAATCCACCGGCGGGTCCAAAGCGGAGTAAAAGGTGTGGGAAATTTGGGATATCGCGATTGCCGCGCACTGCGTGGTTTCATGATGGAGCCCGCGAGGCACCATTGAATTTTGGGGTCAGACTCGCGGACCACAAATCTTGGTAGCCGGTGGTCAACCAACTCCCAGGACTTGGCTTCCTGCTGCCGGCAACAGGAATTACTAGTGATAGTGAGTTGTGCGCTTGTGAATAACACCACACGCCCTCCACAATGTGCAGAGAGAGAAAGAGAGGAATGGCGGCGCGCGGCTTTGTGGACTGTCCAATTTCGTCCAGGATGGCGATCAGCAAATTGGGATGTTGTCGGGCGTTTCCACCTCCGCGCTTGTCTCGACCATGGCAAGAACGAGGCGTGTTTGATCGAGGGCCCGTTTCGTCGCAACCGCGAGCGCCCTGACGGCCATCTCTCTGATGCGGGGGTGAGCTTGCGGGCCTCAGAGTTAGTGACCTTCTCGGGAGGGGCCAACCGAACTGCTGAGTCGGGGAAGCAGCCTGCCTCGTTCAGTCTGCCGGCGCTCGCACACGCACACACGCGCACGCACACGTACGCACACGCACGCACACACACAAATTGTTTTTCGTCGGCGGCGCGGCAGAGGCGGTCCGCTCCAGCGTGTGGCATTCGGGGCAACCGAATGGCTAATTATCTGGCGTGCAAGATAGAGACAAGGACGACGGTAGCCTCGCGGGGGGACACATACGCACACGCACAAACACACACACACACACACACACACACGCGCACACACACACACTCAAACACTAATTGCCAAACGATTCTCCCAAGCTGCCCTAAGACCACCGACTGGACGCCAAGGGGGCACCACGATGCATCAAAAGAGCCTCAGAATACTGCATACGGTCCTCGAGGTACCTGAAGGCAGGCGTAAATGTTCGGTCACACATGTGTCCAGGCCATAATTTCCTAAAACGCCAAGCTACACAGAAAATACCAAACGGTCGCCTCGACTATACGGCCCTCGGCCTGACGCCGCAAAAAAGCACTGAAACTCCGACCCACGCCTGACGACTTCCGCTGAGGTCTGACCTCCTCCGGGGGTCCGGTGGAACGGCGCAAGTCATTTGAATCATGTCTGCTCTGACGGGGCAGGGACTTCGAACCTAAGTTTCCACTGAATCCAAGATATATGTGTGGGAGGACGGCATAATGACCAAATGGAGCACAAACAACTAGATTTGAATTGCCAGCGCACCCCGCCGACGGGCGACCAGGGCACGCAGCCCCGCGGTGCAAGCGCAGCCGCTGCTCTCATGCCTGCCAGGGGCGGTGGGGGACGGGCACCAGAAAAGGCTTCCTCAAGTCGGCCTGGTAGGATGCTGGACTGTGCAGGGTATACTGGTTAAGGGGGGAGAGAGGGACGCATGCACGCAGGAATATAAGGAGCACTCGCAGTATCAGCAGCATCGGCATCTGTAGCATCATCAGCGGCAGCAGCAGGATGTAGGGGAGGCCAGTCAGAGGGAAGGGGCGCTTGACCTCATCATCGCCCTCTGCTCCTCTCCACCCCTCCCCCCTCTCTTCCCCGCTGCCCCTTCCCATCCCCCCGCTCCCCCTCCCGCATCTGCTCTTCTGGGGAAGCAGGACCAGAACGACGACGGCCTGACAAAGGAACAGCGTCTGGACCCGATGTCCTTCTTGTCAGCGGATGTTTCGGTGAGTCTCCCTTTTTGTCGGGCAAACTCGCCAACACACCAGTCTACAATCTGAACAACCAATCTACCTCAAAAGTTTTTTGTTCAGTGGCGTTATTTCTTCTTCAACGCAAGCAAACATGCCACCAACCGACGCAATTGCCATTCCGCCGACCAATCAGATGGCCAACCGCACAGCGTAAGGCAGCAGGCCACACGGGCAATCAAAAGGGAGGAGGGCTGGCGGCAGAGGGTGGCACCCATCAAGTAATCTGGCCGCTCCCGCATGCGGCGTGGGCCGTGGAAAGAACCTCTCTGCCAAAATGTGTGGCAAGACTTGCCGACGCCTGGTCAACATCTCCCTCAAATCCCTCCCGCGAGGCCCTACAGTGAACCCGTATAGCAAGGATGCGCGATGATGATGCAAGGGCCGTAGAAGGCCATTTCGAAGCTTTCCCAGGCGGGGCGCGGCCAACGAAAGTGGTCAAGGATGGACCGCGGAGGCAAGGACACAAGCGTACCCTTGGGAAAATTGCCCATCCTTACCATGCGAGTTGACTGTACTCTGCCAATGGTCTCTCGCAGACCCCCCCAGCTGAAGGGGCCGAAAGAATCCAGGATGCCCACAAGACGACCAAAGGGGGCCTCAAGACGGTCCAAGAAAGCCCCAAGAGAGGTTGAAGACGGTCCAAGAAGGCCCCGAGATAGTCCAAGAGCGTCCAAAGTCGGCCCACGATGGCCGCACGACGGCTTATTAGAGGCTCCCCAAAATTGGCCCCAAGAGGGCTCCAAGAGGCAAACATGATGACTGTTGCTGGCTGTTTTCAACACTCCAAGGCAGCCCAAGGGGCCCAAAATATCGCCTCAATGCCACCCAACCGGCACCACAGATGGCCCAAAGACGGCCCAACAGGGTCCCTGGGCGGCCCCAAACAAGGCCCGAGGAGGTCCCCAAGAGGGCGCCAATGTGGACCCAGGAGGAGGAGGAAAGGGAATGGGCCTTCGGAGCCTTCGCCCCACAGAGTATCCTCAAGAGCCCCGGTCGGCATGGCCCCAATGGGCACCCAAAGGTTTCTAGGACTCCAACTTATGAGTCATATGAGTGGTCTTGGTCCTTTAAACAACTCCCAGAAATGTCTTGGCCCAGCCCGCCAGCCACCGAGAGAAGAAAACTCCCATCGGCTTCCCACTCCAAGAAGATCCGCAAACCTCCCAGTTTGTCGGCCTTCCCGCTCCAGGCGGCCCCGAGAAAGACTGCCACGATGATATCTGAGACGGCTAAGATGGCCCCGAGAATCCCAGATGGCCCCAAGACATCCGCAAGGCAGGCCGAGATGCCCCCAAGATGGCCCAAGACGGCCGCAAGATCACCCAAGACGGCCTCCAAGAAGGCCCAAGAGGTCACCAAGAGGACCTCCAGGAAGGCCCGAAGACGCCAACATCATTGATACCACATTGAGGTTGACAGATTTTGGCGTTGGCTCATTTTCGATTTTCCGACGGCTCAAGACGGCCCCAAAATCCACTAAGATTGCCCCAAGAGCGCCAACGATGCATCGGAGATGGCGCAATGACGGCCTAGGAGGCCGCAAGACGGCCCCAAGAAGGCCCCATAGAGGGCCCAGGAGACCTGCTCCAAGACTGCCCTGAAGCAGCCCAGGAGGGCCCAAGTTGGCCCAGAGTCCCACGAGACGGCATACAACGGAGTCAGGCGGGCCAGGAGCGCCCTCAGACGGCCAAAAAGCCTCCCAAGGAGTGTCCCGAGTTTCCCAAGAGGCCCACGGAAGCCCCCTAGAGGCCTCCAAGAGGCCCTCAGGAAGCTCCAAGGAGCCCCCAAGCGTGCCCCAAAAGCATCCAAGAGGACTCCTCCTCCTCCTCCTCCTCCTCCTCCTCCTCCTCCTCCTCCTCCTCTTCCTTCGTCCTCCTCTTCCTTCGTCCTCCTCTCCTCCTCTTCTTCTTCTCTCCCCCAAGTGTTCCCCGCAAGGTTCCCACAACGGCAGGGGCAAACCCATAGTCCGACAGCGTGGCCGAGCTCTGGCCACAACGTTCGGCCAAAGAGGCGGTTCCAAAAGGCAGGGGACGGCGGTGACGTAGGCGTCTTCGATCCGCTGGCCCCCTGTGTCTCGCCACAGGGTTGCACGGCGTGCCAGATTGACTACCTACCAGACCACCACAACCCAACCCGAAGACCCCAATTTCGGGTTGGGGGGGGGGTACGGGTTCCATATGTTTTTTTTCAGTGCTCCCCGACACCCCCCAACTGGAAATGGAGGGCAAATTGAGGCCTTCGGGTTGGGTTGGGGTGGTTTGGTGGGTGGTGCCAGATGACTGAGCGTTCTTATTGGTTCAGGGGTGCTGGCCTGAAGCGCGCCTAGGATGGCTCCAAGATGGCCTCCAAGACAGCCAAGATGGCCACCACGACGGCCAAGACAAGATGGCCCCAAGAGAGCCCACGATGGCCGCACGATGTCTCCAAGGCGGCCCAAAATGCACCCGAGACGACCTTGTATGGCGTCAAGATGGCCCAGGACGGCTCCAACGAGACTTCCAAAATGACATCCAGGAGGTCAGAACCATTGTTCAATGGTTTTAGCGTTTCGGGGATCTTCTGACCTGGGTCAATCCAGACCCGGGTCAGCGGGAAACCAAAAACTGCAATGCAGGAGAAAAAACTGCAACGCAGATCTTCGTAAACCCGGGTCAGCCAATAGGCGCGGCCGCCTCGCGGCCACGAGCGGCTCGCTAACCCGGGTCAGCCAGAAGGGGATCTTCGCAGGATCCTGCAGGATCCGGCGCCCTGGCTGACCCCTGTCTGCACTGACCCCCGTCTCGAGGCTCCCGAGCGTTCTCGCAATTCATGCTTCCGGTGCTCAAAGACGGCCTCGTGAGCCCTCGAGATCGCCCCAAGTGGGCTCCAAGAGGCCCGCAAAACAGCCCAAGAGTGGCCCCAAAGACGGCCCAAAGACGCACACATGAACCTCCAATACGGCCCTCAAGCGCCCAAATAGAGAGTCACGACTGCCCAGAGAGGGCCCCAAGACGGCCTCCGAAGGCCAATACGACCCTTAAATCCCCCAAGGCCCCCAAGAGGCTCGCAAGCGACCCCAGGAGGCCCTCGAAGAGGCCCCAGGAAGCCCCCAAGAGGCCCCTCAGAGGCCCGCAAGAGGCTCCCAGGAAACCACCAGGAGTCCCCAAGAGGGCCTCAAGTGGCCGCTTCCTCCTCCTCCTCCTCCTCCTCCTCCTCCTCCTCCTGCTCCTGCTCCTGCTCCTGCTCCTCCCCCTCCTCGCTCCTCCTCTTTCTCCCCCCAGCGTGCCCCCAAGGGGGTCCACAGCGGCTGTGGGCACATAGTCCGATACGGTGGGGGCATTGGATAAGGAACCATCGGGTAAGGAATCCAGGGTCTGGAGGCCAGTGGAACTCCAATCGTGGATTGGCCATGGATATCACCACCGCCCTCATCAGATAAGGAATCCTCCAGGGTCTGAAGCCCCGCCAACGCCCCCACCGTGGCTGAGCCAGACTTTGACCCAACGTTTGGCTGGATGAGCGTTTCAAATGCAAGGGGCGGCGGTGACTCGCCGAAGGCGTCTTCGATCCGCCGCCCCCACTTTGATTTATCACAGGGGTGCCCAGCGTGCCAAACGTGGACTCTTGAGCCCTGGCTTTGTATCCACACACGGAGTCTCGGCCGATCCCGCCAGCCACACGGTAAGACCAGGGAGTCCACAACAGCACGCCCCAAGACGCCTAAGATTCCTCTCCAAGACGGCCTCCAAGACTGCCTCCAAGACGGTCCCAAGACGCCTCCAAGACGGCAAACTATAGCAGCAAGACAGTCCAACATGCCCTCCAGTCGGCCCAAGGGGCGCCCCAAGACGCCCCAAGTGGGTTCCAAGAGGAGCCCCGGAAGGTCACACTGATTGATTGCTCCTACGTTTTTCAATGACTTTGACGGCCTCGCCTTCTCGGGCTTCCGACGCTCAGAGACGGCTCCACTGGCCCCAAATATCGCCCCAAGACGGCCCAAGGGACCAGCACGACTGACCAAGAGGACCAAGACAGCCCCATAGGCCCGTGGGTCGGCCGATAGACGGCCCCATGGACTCTCAAGAAGGCCCTCGGGCACCCAAAGGAGGAATCACGCCTGCCCAGAGAGGGTTCCACGACTGCCTCTGAAGGCCAAGAGGTTCCGCGGAGGCCCCGGGAGGCTCCCAGAAGACCTTGCAGGGGCCTCTTTCTTCTCCCTCTCATCCTCTTCTCTCTTTCTCCCTTCAGGTATCCCCCCCTGGTTTTCCTCAGCGGCTGGAGGAAGACATCCTCCAATGGGTCGGTCACAACTAAATTTGGCCCAGCGTTTGGCCGCACGGGCGTTCCCCAATGGGTGGGGGCGGCGGTGATTCGCCGTTTGCGTCCTCGACACTTCGGGAACCAGAGAACCTTCGAGAATCCCCCGCAAGAATAACTGACGGGCGCGCCGCGCAACGCCAACCGATGGCGCGCGACACCTCGCAACACTCCCAGGGGGCGTGATGCACCGCTCGTGTCCTCGATTATGATGAAGGCGGAGGAGGATGAGGCAAAGGAGGACTAGGAGCAGGAAGGCGGATGAGATGAGGAGGCAG